CGCATGGATCCAAGCGTGCCGCGGGGGAGGTGTGGGCAGAGGGGCTGGGGTGGTGCCGGAGAGCCTCCCGGTGCTCTCCGTACCCCGAGTGAGAGTGGGGAGAGGAATCCCTCCTGCTTTCCTCTACCGTGTGCTTTCTCTTGTTTTCCGCATCAAGGATGCGCTCTCTAGGCTGTTTGCCCGCTGTGGGCATGTCCAGTCTGTGGACATCTGTGAGAAGCCAGGGCCGGGAGAGAAGAAAGAAAAACTCGCGTCCAAATTCTTCAACTGCAAAACTGTAAAGGTAAAGCTTGGGGCAGGGAGGTGAGGGGGAAATATTGATGCTTTGGTAGTCAGAATGGGAAAAGATCAGAAGTGCTGAATGGTGCTGTTTGGAACACGAGATATGGGAAACCATTTGGGGGCGTTGGGCAACATGATTAATTATTTAAGTTCATACAGTCTTTTTTGCTATCCCACTGTAAATTGTGGTTTATTTCACTTGTACTGCAGCTCCTTGCTGCATTGCCAGTTTCCTTGGTGCAGCTGACTGGCCTGGGTGCCTTTTTCTTTTAGGGGTTTCATGTAGCATACGTGGTGTTCAGGAAACCAGCTGGTGTCCAGGCAGCCAAGGCCCTGTCACGGGAAGGTCCCTTGCTGATATCAACAGAGAGTCACCCTGTGAAAACTGGCATTAGCAGTAAGTCAGCCTTAGCTACCTTCCTGCTAACCAGTGCTCGAGAAAAACTATACTCCTTCCTTGCCGCATCCTGCCCTGCATGTCTCAAAGTAATACTTTGCATTTAGTGCTGTGCTGGGAGGTGTGCCGTGTTTCACTGTCTTGCTTCTGTTATTCTCAAGGTAGCACTCTTGTACGGGATGCTGTAGTCTGGTCCAGTGACCCTACGGGAGAAAGGGGTCACTTGATGCAACGGAAGGGCAGTTTTTCCCAGTATCTTTAAAGTATCACATAGATTCAGAGAAAAACTGGCTGTGTCTTGCTCTCAGAATGGAATCCAGCCTCAACAAAAGCCACTAGGTGTCTGTCAGGATGGCAGCATTTCAGATGTGACCCCTTGACAGGAATGCAGCCCTGAGTGTTGCACCTCTTGGGCTTCAGGCTACCCTCCTCCTGCTTGGGAAAGCTGCATGCTCTTCCCTTCACTTACTGGCTGTGGCCTGGGCTGCAAGTGGTTGAACTGTGGCAGTGAGGAGGCTGAACAGAAATTGGATCAGACTGTGTCCATCCCCACAACAGCTCTTACTATAGAGCTGCCCACAGGCAACACGGCAGAGCTTGCGTCTAACAGAGGCTGCTGCTGACTTCTGCCCTCTCTGTCTCAGAGTGGATCGCCAACTATGCGGCCTCAGTCGTGGACCAGGAGAAGCTGAAGGCTGAGGTGGACGCCTACATGCAAGACTATGACAAAAAGATGGCAGAGGTGAGGCCAGGCTGGGGAGGGAGCCCAGCTTAGCAGTTTGGGGAGGGGAAAGTGAGAAGATCTCTTGGTGCCCAGGCCTCAGTGGAAAGGGCAGAGGGAAACATGCTGGCTGTCAAGGCTGTTTTACTGCCTGCTGATCGGCAGTCAGGTTCTGGTTTGGTCCACACCACCTGACCCTTCCACCTAGGGCTGACATTAGGTACCCACAAACAAATGGCATCCTGGCTGGTGTGCAGAGTTGAACGCCTGCGTTCTTGATCCCACACTTTCCCTCCCAGCTTGCGCGGAAGTGGGAGCCGTGACTTTGTGTGTGTGTAGGGGACTGGGGGATAGCTGTGCATCGAAGGGCTGGCAGCCACCTCACCCTCCTGTCTTTACAGGAAGAGGCCAAAGCGGCCAAGGAGGAGGGCGTTCCAGATGAGGAGGGCTGGGTGAAGGTAACGCGCAAGGGCCGGAAGCCCGGCATGCCCCGGACTGAAGCTGCCAACCTGCGGGTGCTGGAGAAGGAGAAGCAGAAAAGGGCCCGCAAAGAGCTGCTCAACTTCTACGCCTGGCAGCATCGCGAGACCAAGAGAGAGCGTGAGTGTCTGAGTCTCCTCCTGCTCCTACCCCATGTCTCTGTCTCATCTCATGCTGTGGCCCAAAGAGCATCCCCTTTCCTTCAGTAGAGGCTATGTCCAGCTGCAGGTGAACAGCTGGCTGGGTGGTTGTGTGAATGGCCTCGCCAAGCCCTCTGAGGGCCCCTTGCCACCACTGTCCTATCAAGGGCCGATGGAATATTTTGGGGGAGAGTGTGCAGGTCATGGCTTTCCAGTAGGTGTTCCCTCAGTCTGCATGAAGGCAGCAATTGCAAAGGAAAACTAAGCCTGGTTCCTCCCCAAGAGGGAGCTGCAGCACTGCTGGAAATGAATGGCCAGAGCCCCAGCTCGGCACTCACCCAGCCACAAAAGGACCCGCTCTGGGTGTTTGTGAGAGTTGGGGCTGAGCCCTTCACGGTGTCTGGACATGAAATTCCCCAGGAGAGGGAGATCTGCTCCTGTGTGACCTGTCTTCTTTCTGCCTCTTGCAGACATTGCCCAGTTGAGGAAGAAGTTTGAGGAGGACAAGCAGAGAATCGCGCTGATGCGAGCCCAGCGCAAGTTTCGGCCGTACTGAGCTGTGCTGAGCTGTTTCCTGGGGTACCTCTGCTGAAGAGGACGGGCAAGATGCCCATGGACTCTGTATGCCAAAGGATTTCAAGGAATTGAGGCAGCTCCGGGTTGTCCCTGCCCTTGGCTCTGTGGTGGGAGATCCCAGCAACCACCTGGTATCCTCCTGCCCTCCCAGCCATCGTTTGGCCCTGTTGCCCAGGGTGCTCAGGTCAAGGGGCTGAGATGCTTCCTATGGCAACCTCTGTCTCTTTGCCACCCAAGGTCCCCCTAAAGCTCGGTGAGAGCTGGGATTGACCTCTGCAGGGGCAGGGAATGGCTGAAGAACTGTAAATAAACTGCTGCTATGTTCTCAAAATGTGGGAATGCCTCTCTCTCTCCCCCTTGGTCTGCTGGGGGTGCAGTTTCTTGTGTGCTGGGGTGGTGAGCAGAGTCCTGGCTTGCATACTGGTGCTCCTTTGCACATTTATCTGGGGGTGAGTAAGAAGAAGAGGGAAGTGACCTTGGGAAAGGCCCAACTGGGAAGTTCCCAGACCTGTTGTCACAAGCAAGGATCAGTGGTGTGGTACAGAGGTCTCCCCCTTGGGGTTTTCCTCTCAGGCAGGTGTTGAGGTGCCCAGTCTCTGCTGTGCATGGACCTCTACAGCCATGTCTAGACTGGGCTGGGGGAACTCTTGACGTCCAGCACTGTCACTGGAACAAGGTGAGACAGCAACCAGGCTTTGGGGGAGAAACCTGACTCCCCAAGGCCTGTTTTCACTCAACCTGTCACCAGTCCACAGGAGGCAGGCAAGGATGGCAATGGGCATGTCCAGCTGTGGGACAGGACTTCTGTACTGCTCAGGTAACATCTGTGCAGCTTCACACTTCATGATCACCTCAGCACACTCTGTGATCAGAAAGGGGCCATAACTCATTTCCCCCACCCAGGCTTTTATACATTGATTTTACTGCCTGCAGCCTTGATATGGGTGTCACCATGAGCGTGAGGTGGAAATGCTGGTAAATTGCACAGAGCTGGGTTAAAAGGGATTTACCCTCCCTAGAAAACCCCCTGCAAATACAGCTGCTGTTGGAGGGGGAGACTTCCAGGCCTGCTGCCTTCAGCTGGTTTTTTACATTAGCTCAGCTAGGAGGTAGACGGATCCCTCATGTGCCCGATCCAAAGCAGACTGCATGGAAAAAACTCTGCCTCCCAAGACTGGTGTTTTAGCTGCCTGGGTGAGCATCCCAAAAGGAAGGAGGTTCACTTCCCTACA